AGAAAACACAGTCAGTCAGTCAGTCACACACACACACACTCACACACACACACACACACACACACACACAGGTAATCTACAGGCTGTATATTGTGGAACAGTCAGAAACTGCTGTAAAGTGTGTGTGTGTGTGTGTTTTTTAGCCCCTCCCCCTGAGAAAGAACAATCTATAATCGTCTTTGATTAGCTCTATTAGTGGTCGGGGCTTCATTTGAACGACCAATCAGAGCACTGCATTTCCCCATTCAAAAGAACAGAGTGTGTTCACTGCACACTTGAGGACAGAATGTAAACAACACTGCTGATCTGAACACACACACACACACACACACACACACACACACACACACACAGCTTGTAATAGCAGTAAAACAAAGCGAAGTGTAGCTCAAATTCAGCACTGTGTGTGTGTGTGTGTGTGTGTGTGTTGTTGCTCATCAGCTTCAGCATGGAGAACACACTGCCTGAACACGAGCAAAACATCTGAAGACAATGTGTGTTTGAACATGTACCTGAGCGCGTGTGTGGTGTGTGTGTGTGTATGTGTGAATAAGAGTGTGTGTGTGAGTGTTTATGTTTGCATGTGTGTTTAACAGTGTATGTATGTGTATAGATGAATGTGTGTGTGTGTGTAGGCCGCAGAGAGCTGCTCTCAGTGATTGTGAATGAGACTCTCAGCAGTGAACGTGCTCAGATGACTGTGTTTGTTTGTGTGTGTGTGTGTGTGTGGGGGGGGGGGGGTATTTAGGCACAAATGTTGTGTGTGTGTGTGTGTGTCACCATGAAGTCTGAGCTGAAGTTGTCCTCTCCCGTCTGCTCTCCGCTCCTCAGCTCCTCGATGAACTTCTTCAGGATGTTCCCCTGCTCCATCCTCTCCCTCGGCGGCGGGATGAAGTGTGTGTGTGTGTGTGTGTGTGTGTGTGTGTGTGTGTGTGTGTTGGCGAAAGTGTGTTTCCGCGGTTATTCCAGCATTCTCACGGCCCCATGATCCTCTCCGCTCCTGCGATCAAACGGGCGGGAGCGCGCACACCGGGCAGCGGGCACGAGCACTCGCCGGTAATCCCTCGCCGATCAAACGCTTTGATTTCTCCTCAGAATCGACTTTTCACAGTGTAATAAAGCGCGCGCCCCTCCCTGCGGCTGCCACACACACACACTCGCACACTGCCGGACCGCCCGAGCCCCGCTGCCGACGCCCCGCCCCTCACCGCTCCCCTCACTCTGATTGGACAGCGGCCGGGACCTCCGCGACGGTGATTGGAGGAGCAGTCGCTTCACTCAAACGCATCCTCGGATTTCTGGTTCCTGACTGTCGGGACCGGCTGTCAATCAGAGGTTCCCCCTGAGCTTCTCTGCGATTGGCCGAGCCCGCTCCCGCCCTCTGCCTGAGCCAGGTTAGCCCCGCCTCTTCCGCGCTGACATCCGGGCTCTTTCAGCGCGTCACCGTCAGCGCATTGTCTCCGCGTTTGCGTGTAAATCCGTAACCCTGACGAGCAGCGAGAGAGCTGATCAACCGATCACCAGCAGCTGCTCATCAATACACAGCTCAAGCTGCTGTGCTGATCTTTGAGTGTGTGTGAATGAACAGGAGTGTGTGTGCGCGCGTGTATGTGTGTGTGTGTGTGTGTGTGTGTGTGTGTGTGTGTGTGTGTGTGTGTGTGCAGAGGGAAGAGAAGGTTTCTGGAGCAGCTGAGTTAGGAATGTTCATCAACAAGCCCCAACGCGACTTGCATAACTTCACTCTTCCCCACACACACACACACATTACACACACATTACACAACATTAAGATACAAGGGTACAAACATATCGTCCACATTCATCCTAACACACAGTGTGTGCTGGTATTTACTTGTTACAGCACACACACACGCGCTCTGTGGTGGTTGTCCGCTGGTTTGTGTGTTCAGTGCTGGTGTGTGTTCAGTGTTGGTGTGTGTTCAGTGTTGGTGTGTGTTCAGTGCTGGTGTGTGTTCAGTGTTGGTGTGTGTTCAGTGTTGGTGTGTGTTCAGTGCTGGTGTGTGTTCAGTGCTGGTGTGTGTTCAGTGTTGGTGTGTGTTCAGTGTTGGTGTGTGTTCAGTGCTGGTGTGTGTTCAGTGCTGGTGTGTGTTCAGTGTTGGTGTGTGTTCAGTGCTGGTGTGTGTTCAGTGTTGGTGTGTGTTCAGTGCTGGTGTGTGTTCAGTGCTGGTGTGTGTTCAGTGTTGGTGTGTGTTCAGTGCTGGTGTGTGTTCAGTGCTGGTGTGTGGTCAGTGTTGGTGTGTGTTCAGTGTTGGTGTGTGTTCAGTGTTGGTGTGTGGTCAGTGAACTCTGCAGTGGTGTCAGTGCACTGAGAGAGGTCGCTGCTGTCTGGGCCTTCACTGCTGATCTGCACTGCTCTGTCTTCATGTGTTCAGTGCTGTTTCCCTGTGTCAGTCCAGTGTGTGTGTGTGTGTGTGTGTGTGTGTGTTCTCTGCATGTCTGGGTTTCTGTGGTTGTCATCAACACTCGGGAACATTTCAGGTCTACAACACCTTCAGAAGGAAAGTGCAGAGCAGAACGCTGACACGGGTTCACGACTCAATTCCTACACTGGATAACCTACAATTGATCTCTGAGATCTGACAGCGTCTGTCGGCCTGATCTGGTGTGTGAGTGTAGGGGTGGGACAATCACATAACTGATGGCGATTGGCCACAGACGCAGCTGATGTGTTTACATGTGTAGAGCACTGCACAGAGGGAATGAAAGCAGTGTGTTCTGACACGCAGAGATCCTCGACAGCAGCATCACGTCATCACCTCACTGCATTATGTTCATATCACAGTAGAAACGCTCTGATAACACTGCTCCACTGAGCTGAGATCCTGCAGTTATACTACAGTACAGTGACGGCTATAGTGATCTGACTCAGTTCCTATTGCTGTGCAGTTTGTAACTAGCTGATGACTGCTTTATAGTAACACTCAACACTTCTGTGTGCGGTGTACTGGCGCTGATACTGGACTGTGTGTTGTTGTGAGTGCAGCATTAGTGTGTTGTCGCCCCCTGGCGGTCCGGCGTGCATTAACATGCAGCACAACACAACTAACGCAGGAAAACTGTGTACAACACTGTGTGCGTGTGTGTGTGTGTGTGAGAATGATGGCTCTCCTCATGACTGTCTTAAATGTAATAGAGTGTGTGTAGTGTGTGCTCATCCTCTGGCGCCTCCTGTGGCTGTTCTCTCTCACTCTCAAGCTCAACTGCGGCTCGCTCAGCATGTGAGGTGGTCGCCTGCGGTCCTGCCTTTCCTGTCGTACTCACACACACTGCTCGTGCACGGTCGCTGATCACGTGAGCGCATGCATTTTACTCGAGTCAAGATATAAATATATACAATAGATGTCGCCAACCCTGTTGTTGTCTATTGGAAGGAATGCGTCAATAGAGCCGCCATGTTGGTACAGGGTAGCGCTCCTTTGAAATGAATGCGGGACCAAGTACAGTGGAGGACTGTGGCCATCCAAAGCCAGAGACATACACATATACACATATATCTGTGATCGGGAGTTTTCCTGGATGTTAGTGTGTAATTTTTTTTCTAATTATGAAAATGATAATTTGACATCACTTTTCTACATTGATGGATCAGTGACCGCACGGACATTCCTGACTGAAAGCTTGTGTTTGTGTGTACAGAAATGTACTATTCACCCTCCCTGTTAAATCTGATCTAATCATGTCCTGAAACACAGCTCCTCTCCTGCTTTCACTGCTCATACTGACGGAGAGAGCGATTCGCTTGTGAATGAATCTCCGTTATGAGCAACTCGTTCACTAGCCGACAATAACACAAGTTTCTGGCAGCGCAGCATCTCGTTGTCATATTTCTTTCGCATTGTTTGATGATTTTATTCAACAAAACTAGCATAAGCCGAGTGTTTAGTGCGAGTTGGAGCTGCTTTGCCGTATGGTGACTGCAGTAAGAGACTGTTATCATCAATAACGTTACCTGATTAGCACAAAAGTTCAGGACATACAAAAACAGAAAAAAAATTAATATTACCTATGAAATGTTCTGCCTTTGTGCTTTGTTTTCTTTGTTTGCTCATTACTACACTCGTAGACAGCGCTAAAGTCCCGCATCTTCACGTAATAACACTGTCTTGACTAGTGGGACTGAATGACATTTGTCCTGGAAGCACTGTACTAATGTGGCGGCGCTATTGACGCATGCTCAGAGACCCTATGTGATATCTACAGTGCAGAACTATGGTGGAGCGCCACTATGGACCAAAGCAGAAACGCTATTAAACGCGATATGACTCACCACAGCGGTGAGATAAAGTGTGTGTGTTGGTGTTCAGCGAGTGTCGTGCTGTCTTCATCGATCAGTCTGTTTATCAGCACATCACTGAACACTTCAACACTCTTTATTCGGCTTTATATCATAGGACAGATAGATTTGGACATGCGTGGAGGAATGCGTGACGTCACTCTAGTCCACCCAATAGCCGATGGCAGGCGCTGTTATGCAGATGAGCGTGTGCTGTGTGTGTGTTTGTGTAATGTTTTCTACTGTTGTTTACACTGCTGTTATGTATTTATTATCGCGATCAGCTGTCTGTCATCTCTGGGTTAATCACAGATATTCTTTAATCAAATGTGGAGGAGACTGTGTTCTCACCGTGGTGGTGAATTATATTGCGTTCAATGAGGGTTTCTTCATTGGTTATTAACGCATCTCTACTACAGTGCTGTAAGTTTGACAAGGATGTATGACAGTAACATCTAATCAAACAGCCTGAACAGGTATATAAGTGCTATTACTGGGTCTTACCTGTATGAGAATGATATGAAATCGTAATATTTCGAATTCGGATATGAAAGCACATTGATATCTAATTTGATTCCCGGTAATAAATAATTGAGTGTATTTGGCTCTATTTAGCCGCAGTCCACCACTGCAGCTGACCCTGTAGTTCCTGATGTGTCCAGTAGAGGGAGTGCAGAACAGTGCAGTACAGTATTACATTAAGCCTACAGAACATTATCACACCCAACCTAACGCGACACGATGAAGGTATGTTAAATACATGATTAAAACTTTAGCAAACATGAAACAAACATTTTTATTAGATTATCAAGGACTTGGTCCTTTTGTTATACCTTGAGTTATAGTTCTTGAATCATAAATCAAATTATTATGAAATCATATCAATTTTGATGTTGTGCATAGGTCCAGATCCTATATAAAATGGTGTGAAATGTCTTTTTTTTCATTCCTCACTGTTTCTGAGGATTAAGAATTTTTAGATATTTGGACTAGAAACAAGTGAGAAACTCAAGTAGGAAAAGGACTTTTGCAGAGTAGTTATATACATAACTTTTTAGCGAGCATTAAGAATTTAATGCAAGGATTCAGCTTCACTTAAAGAAAACTGGCCATCTCTAGTGATAATAATGTCAATAAATACATGTAAAAAGGTTTTTGTTTGTCCTAACGTTCTGCCGCTGTTCTACCACTGCATTCTTATCAAAGCACATCATTACTCTTTATTACACTTTATTGTTTGGTTATAATTTTGTATTTTTCAAAACGTACCTTTATATATAAACAATACACCAAAATGCATCTCTCTATCTGAACACGTATAACTAGGCTACAGTTAACCATTACACTTTCCAAGTATTTGTGTTTTTAATTTTTCTTATTAAATGAATCTAAATTAATTTGCAATTGGGCTTTTGCAATCTGAAATTATTATCTAGTGAGTTTATAACTTACTTTCTGATACATTAACTTAGCGTTAATTTCTAGCGTAATCTAATTAAAATATATATTTATGAACTGGATATTTAATAATCTTCGAGCGTTGACTTCAATGTATTATTTGGCCATGTATCTTTCATCCCCCCAACTGGACGCATTAGAAACAACAGGGCCGTAAAACTGCCTGGGTCCAAGTCTGCAGTGTAGCCAAGAGGCGACACTGTAGTGCGATTTGGGAAACAGCCACTAGAGGGCGCAGGCGGCCATTTTGGATTGAAAACTCCAACAGATCAACAGCATAATATAAGTCTGTAAAATAAAGAATTAAAAGTGCTGATGATTGTGATAGGAAGTGTTGTATTGTCGTCTTTCAGGTTGTATCTCAGCTTTAATGCGCTTTTTAAATGAATAAATAAAAAAACAAAGCAGCTGCTCGCCA